GGACAAACAGTGACCGGCTTTCTGTACTTCTACTTCCTCTGCCTATGTCTTCCTTACTTGCAGGCTGCGTAGATAAATCATGAAGTATCCCGATCACTTCGAGCGCTCATGACTCATAACCCCACCAACGCCTTTCCTTGACCCTAAACCCGAAACCTCAAACCTCCAAACCCTGAAGTCAACAAAGCTTCCACTCTATCTTAAACCGAACGAAGCCTTTGAGCTTGGAGGAAGACTCCGACGCATGAATGGGGTTTAGGGTTTGGGGTTTTGGGTTTAGGGTTGAGGGTTTAGGGTTTAGGGTTTGGGTTCAGGGTTTGGGGTTTTGTTGCTGGGTTAAGCTTTTGATCCGAGCATGGCATGCAGCCAGAGAGCGGCAGGAGACAGGTTCTTCCGCAGAACGTGCGAAAAGGGCTTTGGGGCTTTCTTGGGGCTTTGGGGCTTTGTTGGGGCTTTGGGGCTGTCTTGGGGCTTTGTTGGGGCTTCGGGGCTTTGTTGGGGCTTTGGGTCCCTGCAGAAAATACACCCAAGACTTGATATATCCAGAATGCTGAGGGCTCAACACCCGAAATTGCTCCAGAAGTTTCCGCCCCCCCCCCCCCCCCCCCACCCCCGCCTTTCGCGGGGGGCATGCAATGAGGGCGACGGTCTGTGCCTTCGGTGACAAACCTTAAACCCTAAACCCTAAACCCGTAGCCCTTAACCCTTGACCCTTTACCCTAACCCTAAACCCTAAACCGTAAACTCAACTCAACCTCGAGAGTTCCACACTAAACCGTAAACTCAACTCAACCTCGAGAGTTCCCTAAGCTCGAAACCCTAGACCTCATGGGGTGGGGTGTACCCTTTCGTGGGTTCGATCACTGAAAGTTCTGTAGCGACTAGGGCCTAGGGTTCAGGGTGTTCGGTTTAGGGTTGTCGGAGCAAATCCATACGAATGGCAAGGATGGGAGACCTCAGCATGCATGCAACGTGAGTTGCTTCTCAGGATAGCTTCATGAACCCTAAACCCTAAACCCTAAACCCTAAACCTTAAACCTTAAACCCTAAACCCTAAACCCCTAAAGACCCACATCTGCCCCAAAACCCTAAACCCTAAACCCTAAACCCTAAACCCTAAACCCTAAACCCTAAACCCTAAACCCTAAACCCTAAACCCTAAACCCTAAACCCAACCCCCAGCCTCCAAATGCGCAGTCAGGGCCTGCATAAACCAGCGATCCTCACGCTGCCGCGAAGGGACAGGCAGATGTGGGTCTTTAGGGTTTAGGGTTTAGGGTTCAGGGTTTAGGGTTGAGGGTTGAGGGTTTCGGGCTGAGCTCATGAACCATCGAAGCAGCAGAAACAACAAATCCCCCAACAAGTTCCCAAGTTCCTCTCATTCGAAGAAATGTTCAACATACCCCCTCGGCATACCCTTAAACCCTAAACCCTAAACCCTAAACCCTAAACCCTAAACCCTAAACCCTAAACCCTAAACCCTAAACCCTAAACCCTAAACCCTAAACCCTAAACCTATGGTAGAATCCTTCCTTCTATTCTCCTTTTTATAAGTTAAGGGGGTACTACAAAATCACCCCAATTCTTCTTAGACTCAAGGATCCTTAAGGGGCAGCCCTAAACCCTAAACCCTAAACCCTAAACCCTAAACCCTGTAACCCTAAACCCTAAACCCTAAACCCTGTAACCCTGTAACCCTGTAACCCTGTAACCCTAAACCCTAAACCCTAAACCCTAAACCCTAAACCCTAAACCCTAAACCCTAAACCCCAAACCCTAAACCCTAAACCCTAAACCCTAAACCCTAAACCCTGTAACCCTAACCCTAAACCCTAAACCCTAAACCCTAAACTCTAAACCCTAAACCCTAAACAGTCTCCTTCTTGCTGTAGAGGACATCTGCGGCAAGGATTAAGTCATAGGACTTCGTGAGGTAGGTCGAGCGATCCTTGCACTTTAGGGTCTAGAGTTTAGGGTCTAGGGTTTAGGGTTTAGGGTTACGGGTTTTAGGGTTTAGGGTTTAGGGTTTAGGGTTTAGGGTTTAGGGTTTAGGGTTTAGGGTTTAGGGTTTAGGGTTTAGGGTTTAGGGTTTAGGGTTTAGGGTTTAGGGTTTAGGGTTTAGGGTTTAGGGTTTAGGGTTTAGGGTTTATGGGTTTAGGGTTTAGGGTTTAGGGTTTAGGGTTTAGGGTTTAGGGTTTAGGGTTTAGGTTTAGGGTTTAGGGTTTTGGGTTTTAGGGTTTGGGGTTTAGGGTTACAGTGTTGAAAGGGTTAAACGGGCTTACAGCGTTAAAAGGATTAACAGTGTTGAAAGGGTTAAAAGTGTTTAAAGCGCTAAAAGGGTTGACAGGGTTGAAGAGTCAAAAAGGGTTAAAAGGTTTAAAAGATTAAAAGGGTGAAACGGTTTTTAAAGGGTTAAAGGGGTCAAAAGAGTTAAAAGGGTCAAAAGGGTTGAAGGGGTCAACATGCTGAAGGGTTTAAGGGTGTAGGGTTCTGAAGGGTCTCAGGGTTTGAGGGTGTAATGGTTCGAGGGTCTAAGGGTTCAAGGCTTTAGAGGTCTGAGTTGTTAAGGGTGTAAGGGTCCCTAAACCCTAAACCCTAAACCCTAAATCCTAAACCCTAAACCCTAAACCCTAAGGCGTCTTTGAAAGTTCGTGGCTTCCGCACTTCCAGCTTTGATCGCGCCTTTTCAATCAGATTTAGGGTTTAGGGTTTAGGTTTAGGGTTTAGGGTTTAGGGTTTAGGGTTTAGGGTTTAGGGTTTAGGGTTTAGGGTTTAGGGTTTAGGGTTTAGGGTTTAGGGTTTAGGGTTTAGGGTGTAGGGTTTAGGGTTTAGGGTTTAGGGCTTAGGGCTTAGGGCTTAGGGCTTAGGGTTTAGGGAAGCTTATAAGCCCCTCACCCTGAGCCTAAACGCCCTAAAAACCCAAACCCTGGACCTCGACCCTAACCCTAAATCCCTGAACCCACACACAAACCCTCAAACCCTGCTGAAGATCTGAGAGCTGGGCTGCCCAGTTCAGGTCGTGAAAGTCCACCAGGCCCTCCACCTTACCTTAAGGATTCGGGCTCGGGACCCTGAAGGGTTTAGGGTTCAGGATTCAGGATTCAGGATTCAGGGTTCGGGGTTCGGGGTTCGGGGTTCGGGGGTCGGGGTTCGGGGTTCGGGGTTCAGGGTTCAGGGTTCAGACTTCTGGGTTTAGGGTCTAGGCCTTGGGGTTTGGGGTTTCGGGTTTCGGGTTTAGGGTGTCGGATATGAGGCTTTGGGGTCTTGGGAAGGGTTTTGTACATTGTTGGGTTGGAACGGGCTCAGAAGGGTTTGGGTTTGGGCCATCGTCGCAGGAACTGTTTTAGGGGGGTTGTACCTTGCTTGAGGGTCCATTCTTAAGGGGATTCCATTATTATCGGTACTCCAAACCCTAAACCCGTATACACTCTACGCCCCACACCCGACACCCTAAACCCGAAACCATAAACCCTAAACGAGGTTCCTATTCCCAAGTGGGGTTTTAAGAATTTTCAGAACCCTGGCTGAGAGAAGCAGATTTCTTATTCGAATCCTCAGCCGTGTGCCCTAAACCCTAATCCCTGAACCCTCAACATCAAATTCGCTCGGACTCTTATGTGGGGAGCGGCTTCAAATTTAGCGCTACCTTATGAACAGGACGCCCCCGAAGACTATCCTACAGACCCTGACCCCAAACCCTAATCCTTCAACTCGCTCAGACTCTTATGCGGGGAGCTGCTGCTAACGTTAACTTTACTAGGATGCTCAGTAACCCAGGATTAAAAAGGGTACCCTTTTTGCTTAAAGGGGTTTATAAGGGAACCTAACCCCTCAAAAAAGGGAATAAGGGCACTACTGGGCATCCAAGCAGACCTGAACCCTCTAACCCTGGAAGGCCCTCCACAATCCTCAAACCCAGAAGCCTCCGAAAACCCCCCTAAACACCCCCCTAAACCCCCTAACCCCCCGCCCCCCCCAAAAAAAAATGAATAAACCTAAAGCCCCCTCTAAAGCCCCCCTTAGAAGCGGACCACTGCGACCGCGACCGAGCCACACCATTGGCCGCTGCGTTGCGGCGCAACAAGGCCAGCACCTCCGGCTCGCAGTCCTCTCGCCGGAGGTGGAGGTTTAGGAGTTTTAGGGTTCAGAGGGGTTTGCTAGGGTTTAGGGTTTTTAGGGTTTTTAGGGTTTTTAGGGTTTTTAGGGTTTTTAGGGTTTTTAGGGTTTTTAGGGTTTTTAGGGTTTTTAGGGTTTTTAGGGTTTCTAGGGTTTTTAGGGTTTTTAGGGTTTTTAGGGTTTTTAGGGTTTTAGGGTTTTTAGGGTTTTTAGGGTTTTTAGGGTTTTTAGGGTTTTTAGGGTTTTAGGGTTCAAAGGGTTTACGCGGGGTGTGGGGTTCGGGGTTGCGAAGGTTTTAGGCATTGGGGCTTCGAGCTTGGGAGCATTCGAGTCTGGGCCTAGAGTTTGGGATTTCAGACTTTCGGGGGCTAGGGTTTTCTAGGGCTTTGGGTTTAGGGCTTGAGGTTTAGGGTTCAGGGTTTAGGGTTCAGGGTTCAGGCTTTAGGGTTTAGGGTTTCGGGTTTAGGGTCTGGGTTTTGGGGTTTAGGGTTTAGGGTTTAGGGTTTAGGGTTTAGGGTTTAGGGTTTAGGGTCTAGGGTTCAGGGTTTAGGGTTTAGGGTTTAGGGCTTAGGGTTTAGGCCTTAGGGTTTAGGATTTAGGGTTTAGAGTTAGGGTTTTAAGAACCCATGCCTTAGAGCCTCTGCTTGGGTTGACAGGGCTGCTACCAATAGTTCTTTGGGGCTCCATGGTGTCTGGGGCCTAGGCCGAACTCTAAGCCCAACATAAGCGCTCTTCTATGAGCGCACAGTTGCAGAAATCCTGACGTGATTCTATACACATGTATGTATGTGCAGACATGGATTTATACTCGTTTATACGTCATTGACAATGAATGTATATGAATACATATAGAACTATATATGTATATATATACACGCAGTACA